CAAATTAACCAAACCAAAGTTTAATTGGTTTGGTTAATCGGATAATCGGATTAACCAAATAACATTACATTACATGAAAACCAACATAAACTATCATTTTATATAAGCAATAATAATAAGACTAACCATCCATAATTATCATCATCGGTCATCATCTTTGCACCTAACATAGGTAGCTTATAACAAACCCGTAAACATAAATACATACCAATACCCATCATCAAGAAGTTAAATCTCTCCTACAAAACACTTAAAACTATAGATAGTTTGAGGTGGTTGTCATGGTATTGTACGTAATCCTAAAGTCTAGAAGTTGTCCAAAATGTTTTGGTTTAGTGAATATAGGCAGACCCATTTAATTTTTGATCCATAATGTTTTGGTTTGTTGTGTACATGAAAATAAAATAGGGAATCACAAAAGTTTGGTTTGGTTGGTTGCATGTAAGTATAAATAATTTTGTATACTAGGTGTACCATTAATTGGTTAATTGGTTTCATTGGTTAGCAGTGTTGAAACCAAACAAAACCAAACCACCTAAACCAAATTAGCTAAATTGTTTAACCAAACCAATTATCCAAATTAACAAAACCAAATTAAACAAATACTACGGGTTAATATGATTACCACCGTAACCAATCCGTTTGAACACCCCTATCGAATATGGCCAGCTGCCCTCAATCGAGCCTCTTCGCATGCTTTCTTATACGGGCATGATGTCAAGTTGTCAACTATCCCCCTCAACCAAATTGAGTTCATTCTACATCTCTACCCAGCCTTTAACACTAAACTAAAATTTTCATATATACAAATACATTCACTCCAGATGTCTATTACAATTTACAACTGTAGGAAGAAAAGAAAAAAAAAAGGATTTACACTAATCAACTAAAAAACAATGAATTTGTATACTCTAATATTTGTTTCATCTTTGTTTATAAAGGTTCTTATAACAATTAATCCAATCCTAAACTAGATTATGTTCTCTGAATCCAGCATAGCGCCATTTTATCCTTATTTCGTTTTTTTTTCCAATCATTTTATCCTTATTTCAAATTGATGAGTTTTCGATAAAAAATTTTGATGAGTTTGGGCCAAATAGGAATGGGCATATTGGTCTCTCATGGGCCTAGCTGTATGCAATAACGTCTAACACGTTGGGCTCCCCTTAATGCAAAGTGTGTTGGCCCATATGCTTAAAGCATCCAGATGAGAGGGATATCAGACTAGTTTGGCCCGGCTGTGGTGTAGTTTTTGCTGAAACATCTTCTAGCTGAAGTTTTAGAGAAGTATTTTTCAAAAAAAATAGTTGACTGTTTGGCTACAAAATTATTAGAAGTCTTGCTATGAAGCCTGATAAAGCTCTTGTCCCTGATGGCTGGAATCGTGGTTTCTATCAGAAGTCTTGGCATATTGTTGGCAAGGATCTTACTGAGGGGGTCCTGAAATTCTTCTCGTCTGGTGTTATGCCTAAAGGTTTGAATTCTGGCTCCTTAACCTTAATACCTAAGATTCAGAATGCAGATAGAATGAAGGATTTTAGGCCAATTGCCTGCATAAATGTTGTTTACAAGATCATCTCTAAAGTGTTGGCAAGTAGACTTCAGGCTGTCTTACCTAGTGTTATCAGTAGAACCAATCTGCTTTTGTTAAAGGTCGTAGCATTTCAGAGAATATCTTAATGGCACAGGAGATGGTTGCAAAGTATATATATAAAAATATTAGCTCTAGATGTGCAGTGCAAGTGGACTTAATGAAAGCTTGTGACTCTGTGCATTGGGGGTTTTTATTTGATGACATGAACACTATGCAATTCCCGCAGCAGTTTGTTGATTGGATAAGAACCTGTTTAGCCTCAACTTACTTCAGTGTTTGCATCAATTGGGGTTTGTGTGGTTTTTCCCCAGCATGTAAGGGTGTAAGGCAGGGACCCTTTATCTTCCTACTTATTTACTTTAGTCATTGAGTCCCTCTCCTTACTGTTAAATAAGGCAGCCACTATGGATAGACTTCCTTTTCATCCGCAATGCAAACCTCTGGGTTCAACCCATCTTTGTTTTGCGGATGATCTTCTCATCTTCTCAGAGGGGTCAGGTTGGCCATTGCTCTGCATAAGGAGAGTTTTAGATGCTTTCTATTCCATCTCTCGATTAAAATGTAACCCAGAGAAGTGTACCGTATATTTTGGTGGTTCCACAAGAGCTGCTAGAGATATTGCTTTATCTGTTTCTGATTTCCGGGAAGGGCAACTACCTATCCGCTATCTAAGACTGCCTCTTATTGCAGGAAAGTTGTCGAAAAAGGAATGTGACTTGCTGGTGGACAGAATTATTAAGAAGTTGCATACTTGGAGAGTTAGTAAACTATCTTATGCGGGTAGACTTGAGTTAATAGCCTCTGTCATTTATCCCATTTTGCAGTATTGGATAGGTATATTTTTGTTACCAAAGATGGTTATTAAACAAGTCCAGAAATTGTGTTCTGACTTCTTGTGGCATGGAAATGATTATGGACGGGCTAAAGTGACTTGGGAACTGCTTACTACCACTACAACAAATTTGGCCAGTTATGACAAAACTTATTTTTTTTGTCATTTCCAGGTTGTCACAATAGGGTGTGTAATATGACAAAATTCAACGCTGTCCTATTTGGCGTGGCTAATGTGACAATGTTAGGTGTTGTCATTACAATTTGTCATAATAGGTGGGTACTGTGACAAACTTCTTGTGTCACAAATAATTTTGTCAAAATAAACATCCCATATCAGGATGTAGGAGACTCAAAAGTGACGAAGTTAATCGTTAGAGTAGCGTTCGTCATATTATTTTGTCATGACATGTTCAAATAACAAAACATTTTGTCATAATAGATATTATTATTCCCACAATGAGTTGACAAAATGCACGTTCGTTATAATATATTGGTTTCATTTTTTAGAAGAGATATTTTCTTTGAACTCCAAAGTTACATTTGCCTCCAAAATTTCATTAGGTTCAAAAAATTTCCCACCAACAAAAATCAAACAAAAACTCCCCCCACAAAATTGAAAATGTTTTGGTTTTTCCTCATACCCACGCACTCTACTTTGTCCCCCACCCACACACTTTTTCCCCCGCCGCTTCTATCACTCCCAAAAGCCCAAAACCAGTCTCGCCCTTCTCCTTTCATCGCCACCTGCGATTGGAGAGAAGTAGAGAGGAGGGGTTGGAGCACCACCATCAGCCATCAAACTTCGTCAATCTCCCCCTATGTTTCGAGGACTCCGAAGATCAATCAGAGCTAAACCTCGTAGACGAGATTGAATATCAGGAGCAGCGACGACGGCAATGGATTTAGAGCGACAGGCAAGCGGCGGCTCAAGCGAAGGTAGGCAGCCTCAGTTAAAGAGGAGCATAGCTTTCCATCTCTTGTAAGCATGTGATTTCGTTCGCGCTAGTTTTGAATCGGTTCTACAGTTTTGGTGTAGTTCTTCATCTGCGATTGTTTGTTCAAGCACTGGTTGGCTGCTAAGAAAATGGTGAAATGGGCGACGAACCTGTTGTTGATTAAATATATCAAAGTCTTTGGATTCATATGGTTGTATAACTTTGATGATTTGTTTTTATTTCTCTTGTTCCAATGTAGGTTGTACAAGGTTGTGAACAAGTTAAATGTACGTGTGTTTCTTTTAAACTATATTATCAATTTTGTGTTGATAATTGATTTGGATTTCCCATTGCCTTGTTCCTTTGCGGTTAATTTTACTATTCAGGATGGTTGCAAGGAGTGCAGGATATCTCATTCCCCCTGCAGCAAGTGAAGTATGAAGTATGAACCTTGAAGAGGAACATGCTAAGTTTCTATTGGTGTTTGGTTGATCTCCTCCATTTGGTGGGAATGATGTAGTCGAGTGTTTGGAGGTTTAAGCTGCACTTGTGGCTTGCTTATTGACGATTTTCATAGAGATGCCCAAATTTTGCTCTAGACTATAGTTCATTTTGTTGATTCCTTGTTGGGTAGCTTGGTAGGGAATTGTACCTTGTACCGAGGTGCTTGCACCTGTGGTTTCTTTCGCAATTGAGTCTTTCAGGCGAGCTTAATGATATGAAAACACTTATCAGAATTTTTTTAATTAGAAGTGCTTTTTAATATGAGAGGGTGTGTAAAATGGCTATAAAGGATTTATAATATAAACTATAAATAAAAATTCTAAACAATAAAAAGTAGTCAAAATGGATCTTGTTAGATTTCTTTTATATTAAATAATTATGATTTTATAATTTATTTTATATTTAAAATGATATAAATGAAAGAAAACTATATTTTTAGAAATATAATTAAAATATGATAAGGATAATCTTTTATTTTCAAAACAGCTTTCCGCAGAAGTTGCAAATCGGAGCTTCTGCTTTTATGTTATTCAAAAGAGCTTCAAAAATCGAGCTTTTAGAAGTGTTTGGCCTTGCTTAACCTTTTGAAGCCGAAAAGCATTTCTAAAAACCGGGCCAAACATAAGTATCATAAATTGACAAAAAGAGAGAGAGAGAGAGACGGATTGTAAGGAATTGGGTTACTGTTTTCATGTGGTATGAACTTTACCCTTCTTTAACATCATTTTCAATATTTTCACTAATTAATATCGCGTTCAACTATCACAAAAAATCACTTAGTTGGCCAAAATGAGTGTTGACCGTTATGTTGGACTATCAAAACCATTAACTAATGATCAAAACAGTTAACTAATGACCAACCTGCCATGTCAACGTCTAGTTAGTATAAACTTCCATAAAATATTAACAATTTTCACAAACTACACTTTTTCAGATTTCGCCAAAAATATGAAGGAAAAAATTATTGTTTTGATCATCGCTTTATCTCTCCACGTTCACCTCCAACTTCACCACAGCAGTCACCCACAAATGACCAATTGTTTTAGTTGGGCCATAAGAACAACTAAATTTCGACCAATATGGTCCTAAAATTCATATATAAAAAACGAAACAAGCCCTTTTTTATCGAAATCTGTATCAATATTATTGATCAGCAACTGAGGTTACATCATCCACGATTAGCTGATCTAATATAATCACTGGTATCAAACCAAACAATACTCTCCTCCCATTGAGTCTCTATATGCGCCATAATATGTGCCGCCTTGTTAGCCTCTGTGTGTATGAACTGCCATCTTCCATCTCCCATTCGATCAAGATTCCTCCTGATATTCCTGCACAGTGTTCCAACCTCACTGTGAGTCTCCTCCGCCCGCATCCAGCAAACTCATCATCTGCATACTGTCCGACTCAAGGATCATATTTGATATGTGGTGCTGCCAAGCAAGCTGAACCCCAAAATCTGCTGTCATGACCTCAGCCCTCAGGGGTGTCCAATTGCACCGAATCTTCCTTATTGTCGCCAGCACACACTTTCCTTCAGCTTTTAGTACAACTACACCCAAACCCGCTTCACCACCCGGTAAAACGCCAGCATCCGTGGCGATTGAAGTTGTCCCAGCTCGCGGTCGGCGCCGGACTTTTATAGCCGGTGTTGGTACTGGCAAGTTTGTTTCTTGTGGTAATATGTCATTTCCTTGGTGATTTCTATAGTTCTCTAGGAACTCTTTAGCTCCATTACGCATAATGCGCCATAAGAAGTGCTTCACCTTAGGGGGGAACTTTTAAAGACCACATTCTCTTCCATACTTCAGCCTCACCCGTTGCATACAGACCATGCATAGTCCTATAGTCTTCGAGCCATCTTTTGTATCCTTCCTTCACAATGAACTCTCCAGAGTTGCTAAAGTGTCATATGATTTCATCCCTCTCCTGCTCATTTCTAAATGAAAATTGTTGAATAAACACCGCTACCTCCGTCGGGAAGTAACTATCCACCACGTTCCGATCCCATCCACTAGTGACCGGGTCGATTAACTCTCGAACACAAGAGTCCACTGGCAACTCGAGGGGAGCGAGGGTACAAACCAACCTTGCTCCATTGGAATCCACTTGTCACCCCATATCCTCACCTCAGATCCATTCCTGATTCTCCACCGTGTGAAGAAAATCTTGTGCACTCATGATTGACCGCCAAATATAACTCGGGTTATATCCACACGATGCCTCCAAAACACTGTCCTTGTTTACTCGCTAGAAACAAGCCCTTTAAAACCTAGCTTCTAGATTTTTTACTTCGCTTGATAATTTTTACTTTGACTTTTATTAGTCTTATTTTTTTGTAAGAACTTTTATTAGTCTTTTGATACAAAAGCTATAATATTTGAGCTACAACATATACAAAATTAGAATTTTGCACTTTAAATCTAGTTCTGAGTGCATTATTTGGTTGGGATTCTCCAAATTGAAGCATTTAATCAATTTTTGCATTGTAATTTTATTCATTGATTAAATGTATGAATTTATAAAATAATTTGTTTGGAGTTTTAGATTTTATTTTTGTTATAGAGAAAAGTTGGGTTGACAATCAATTGTTAACAATCTTACCTTTTGGTAGAAATTGATAGTCACTAATTTTGAGTGATTGTAGGTGAGCCCATAAAAAGGAACTATGAATTAATTGTCATCAAGTTATTTTTTAACGAAATGTCACATTTTTTCTCCACTTTTAATATAAAAAAGGAACTATGGATATAAAATGAAAAAAATGGGGCCAACTATTAAACCAACAATCACAACAATCTTAACTTTTAGTAAAATTGTACAATCTCTCACTTTTGTTGATGTTGGTGAGATCCACACAAATAATACATGCATTGATTTGCAAATTGACACTTTCAAAAATTATATTGTGAATAATACATGTATTTAAGAAATTCACCACTTACAATCATAACTTAAGAAAATATATTTATAATGCATTAATTATTGAAGTACTTGCACTCTTATCAGAGCACCCAAGTTGTTAACAAAAAAAAAATCTATTTTTTTTTAAAAAATCGAGCAGAAGGAAGCTATAATAATAAATATAGAATTGATGAAAATTTGCTACAGCCAATCCAAACCAAGCACTGGCCGTTCACTGGACTCGTACTTGGATGAGCAGAAGAGGTTTACACGAAATTAGAACTGACACATGTTACTATGCATTCTAAGGCTGACCACAGTGAGCCAAAGAAATCCACCCACAGAGAGAGAGACACTGTCGATGGAGAGCATCATCATCAGCCAGCCAGCCAGCCAGCCGGGTCAAATTTTTCAGAGATTCAGATGAATTGAGCTTTTCCCACCACCCACTGCCAGTCGCACAGTTTTCAGGTAACTGTTCCAATTTTCCACTTTACTCAGTTTTTTCTTTTATATTTCGTTGCTGGTGAGTGGAGACACTTCATGGCTCATGCATGGAAGTGGGCGGCAATGAACAGTCGATCGCTCATATAATTTTTTCAGCTAGCTAGTGAGAGAGGCAGCTAGAGAGAAAGGGTTGCCTTTTTCCAAGTTTGCCAATCTCATACAAAAAAGGAAGAATTGGCAATGTCTTGCTTTATCTTTCCCGGCATTCAAGTCACCAATCTACCATTTTATCACCAAAGCGATATGGCTCATGGAGGTTGTTTGGTGCTATGGCCACCCTATTAGCAGCTAGCAGTTTCCTTGGGCTCTAGCAGTTCAGTCTCTATGTCATTCAATCCAAAGTTATTATTCATTAATACCTCATGCATGTACACAAATATTCCGATTGGAATCTAAAGTACATGGGATTATTATTTTTTTAATTTCTTTCAATATAATGGTGACCCGGATATACGTTTTAATGTTAGTCGTTACTTAAATCACCTAATTATGTGAATGTTGTTTCATAATAGTGCGTTCGACTTGGTGGACGAAACGCAGAATAGTGCATTCGACTTGGTGGACTAAAAGGGCTTAAATCAAATGTTGTTTCATAATAATATGTCAATGTCATAAGAATTGGACATAATGAACAAATACCCGAGTCATTCATCTAATAATTCTTACTTGATTTAATGAGTTAATGTAGAGTTATGGATAGATAGACTAGCTTTTTTTTCATACCAGATTTCTGAATTAATATTACGAACATTTTAAGTATTTAGTAACAAAAGATCTATGTAGATTGTGAAAATTATAATATGGATAATGTTAATTTTTTATCCGGAGGATGGTCTAACATTTATAAATATTGGGAATTTGTTAGTGTTTTCTACTGTGGGTTGGACATGAAAATATATAAATTAGTGTGTAATAAACCAGTTGGTCCCAATAACTCGAGTTGTTGGGAGAAGGTTCTGCTGGATCTTATACCACTTTTTAACACGCCCCCTCAAACGAAAGCCAACCCATGGGCTTGAAGTTTGCACATGCCCACCATACCTTGTGCTTTAATCCACTGTTAATATTGGGGGTCGTGGAGATTCGAACACACGACCACTTGGCCAAACCAGCTCTGATACCATGTCATAAACCAGTTGGTCCCAATAACTCGAGTTGTTGGGAGAATGTTCTGCTGGATCTTATACCACTATCTAATATAGTGTATTTTTCGTATAAAAATATTCATGACAGTGGTTAAATTTTGATACATCAACAGAGTGTCGATTGATCGATTGATTATGAAAGTATCCTTTTTTAGTGGTCATACGGAATATAAACTTTCAATACCTTCAATTATGTAAAACCTATAAGATGAATTCTTGACCATATATCCCTCACATTATGGATACTTCATTTCCGTTTTCTTGTGTCTTAATATGAGGTGTTTTATTGATACATTTGGATCAAGCGGTTTCAAAATTTGTTCTCTATATTAGATGCAATAAGTGGCAGAGCTAATATAAAAGAGAATGTTTGTTCTCACAAAAAAAAAGTGAATACTTGCTCTCACAAAAGTGGAGTTTATATTAACTTCGCCAAACACTCCACTTTTGTGATTTCTGTTTAACTTTTAATTAAAATATATTCTACAAATGAGTTTAATATAAACTCAGCTCAAAGCCTAGTGGCTTCTGGTGGTACCAGTAGCCACTTCAGGCGTTGAAAGAATATTTGCGAATCTTTAGTATGATACTGAAGAGTGACATTATTGTTAGTTTAATTACATGAAGAATGTGAATAGAAGGGTGTGAGGGTTTTGCATAGATTATATGCCCCATCACATTGGTATTGGTGGTTATTTATTTATTTATGGACTGTCAATGGAAAACAAAACAATATATGCAATAGACATTTGGAATTGTGATATAGGATCGTCAGGATATGCATATAATGTGCGCAAGGCAGAATATTGCACCTTCTTGATTGAGCTGTGCTAGTATTATAGGGCCTAATGCCTATACAAGTAGGAACAAATAATATTATCACTGCATAATATTCAATCTAGCTGTCCATAATTATGTGTGCATGACAGCCCAATGATGGCACTAATGCATTCATGAAAGTAAACGTGTCATATCAATGCCAAAACCAAAGGTAGGCTTGAAAATTAGAAGAAAAAAAAAGAAGAGTTATTCAACTTATTTTTGGAAGTTGAATTTGGGTTTTGTCCTCAGGTACTGTTCACAAGGTATTTATTCCTACACCCAGTTTCACTATAAATTTTTTAATGTTTGTATTACATAAAGGTATTCTAATATTAGTTTTTTTTTTACACTCCTTAATGAGTTAATGTGATTTTATCATTAGATCATAATTTTTTTATCACTAGACGAGATCGTACGAAAAAATCGTGTAACTTGATTTTATTATTAGAACATAAAATTTGTATCATTAGATCACACAGTACTACATATTTGTGCAACATTATTCTATATATAGCAGTTACGTAATTACAAAAATATTTTAAAAAACTATCAACTTCATCATAAACTCTTTATCATTAGATCAAATATATTATAAAAAGCTCTCACTTTGATCATGAACTTTTTATCACTAGATCACACTGTACAAAAAATTTGTGTAACATTATTCTACAACTTTAGCACTATATTACAAATATTAGTTTTTTTTATAGAACAATTTAATCAAATGTTATATTTTATCATTATATTTGCATATTCATCACTGAATCGGTATTTCTTATTTCTCATCAATTCGCAATAGACAAATGTTTTGTAAGGTAACAATTTGTTTAGGTTTGAAGTGAAACCCTAGAGGATTGGGCTTCTCATTTCATCTCTTGGTTTAAATACAGAGCAATCTCCTCTACAAGACACAGCTGCTCATTGCTGCAGTTCTGTTCTTTAGCTTGAAGTAGAAACAAGTACAAAGCTTGGCAGAAAAGAAAGCAAACAGGAGGAAACAACTTCGTTTAGTGGGTTGGAGACGTTGATGGTTGGAGGAGACATGGAGCAATTTGATGGTGTTGTTGAGGACCTTTTCACGAACGAGATGGCAATCCAACTTGATGTGCTTTGTTCGTTCGTGGAAAGTAGGATTTTGGGCGATGTAGATGCCGCTCTGGTTGTCGCAGAAGAGGGTCGCCGGTGAGGAATGAGAGAGCTGAAAATCACGAAGGAGATACAGCTACCATTGAAGCTAGTAAGCAGTGAAAGCAAGTGCGCGATATTCTGCTTCGCAGGAAAAGCGGGATACGGTCTTTTGCTTCTTGCTTTTCCAAGAAATTAGGGCTTCGCCGAGGTACACACAGTAGCTAGTTGTGGAGTGGCGTGTGTCAACGCAAGCAGCCCAATCAGAATCGGTGAAAGCCTTCAATTGGAGGGAACTAGAGGAAGGGAAGAAGAGACCACGTGCAGGGGAATTTTTTAGGTACCTCAGAATCCTTTCAATTGCCTTGTAATGAGTAACACTTGGGTTAGCCATGAACTGGCTAACCTGTTGAGTAGCATAGGAGATGTCAGAACGTGTAGTTGTAAGATAGATTAACTTACCAACTAAAGTCCTGTATAATTATGGGTCTGCACATGGGCTGTCACAATTGCCGCTGAGATGTAGCTTGTAATCCATCGGAGTAGTGACTTATTTGGAATCCAAAACTTGTGCTTCCTCAATTAGTTCCAGAGTGTACTTCCTTTGAAATAGATGAATGTCTTTTGTGTTCCTTGCAACTTCAATTCCAAGAAAGAATCTCAGTGGACCTAGATCTTTGATGCTGAACTGTTTGTGCAATTTGGACTTTAGATGTTGTACTTCCAAGAGATCATTGTCTCCAATAACCAGGTCATCCACATATATAAGAATACATGTGTAACTGATGTCAGTGAGCTTGTAAAAAAGAGAGTGATCTGCTTGGCTTTGAACATAACCATCATGAGTGAGACAGTCTGTTAGCTTAGAGAACCACTGACGAGATGCCTGTTTTAAGCCATATATGGATTTCCTGAGTCGACAAACAAGGGTATGGAAGCTAGGGGGAGGAGTGTAACCTTTTGGCAAAGTCATATAGACTTCCTCCTAGAGATCTCCATGGAGGAAGGCATTATTCACATCTAATTGGTGAATATGCCAATTCCTTTGAGCTGCAATAGCCAGAAATGTTCTAACAATGGTCATTTTAACAACTGGGGAAAAATTGTCTTGATTATCAACCCCCTCTTGTTGAGTATTACCCTTAGCAACAACTCTGGCTTTGAAACGATCCAAAGAACCATCTGATTCAAACTTGACCTTATAAACCCACTTGTTTCCTATTGGGTTCTTTCCTGGTGGCAAATTGACAACATCCCAAGTCCTGTTTTTTATTAGAACACCTATCTCCTGCTGCATAGCAGCATTATATTGCTCAGAGAGGGAGGCCTCTCTGTATGTGTTAGGAGCTTGGTAGGTAGATATGCTGAGAACAAAATGTTTGTAGTGGGATGCAAGTTTGTCATAGGAAAGAACTGAGGAAAGAGGATACCCAGTGTGATGAGCCTGGAGATGAGAAGAAGCACTAGAGTTGCTAGACTGTTGGAGAAGGTAGCAATGGTAGTCTTTGGTGAGGTGAACTGGGGGTTTTATTTGTCTGTCAGAACGTCTAACTGGTTGAGTTGGGGGAGGAGGGGGTGGTGGTGGTGGTGGTGGGGTAGGGGCTGAAGGAGAGGAAGATGAAGGTGATGGGGAAGGAGGGGGAGATGGAGAGGATGATGAACTGGGTACTGAAGGGGTAGAGTTGGCTGGTGTGGAGGAAGAGGAAATGTCAGGTTGATTTGGAATAGGAGGGGGGGGGGGTGTAATCTGTGAAGTCATCAGCAAATGTGAAAGGATTAGGAGTAGGAAACATATTAGTTGGGTGAGCTTGGGATTCAGGTTCAACAACAGATAAGGAGTGAAAAGCGAAATGGTTTTCATAGAAAACAACATCCCTAGAAACAAAGGTGTCATGAGAGAGAAAGCAAACAGGAGGAAACGACTTCATTTAGTGGGTTGGAGACGTTGAGTCGAAATGGTGCGCAGAGTCCAAAACGCTGCGCAGAAATCAAGTGGACCGTTGAAGCTTTTCTCCCTCCACCAGATCGATTTTGAATTTGGGTGTCTGAGCTGTTATAAGGTAAGTTATTCTCATAACAATTTAATCATGAGAAATTGTAAAGCTTATGTAGAGATTTTTATTTTTTTTATATATCACTTAAACAAATATATGATGTATGTCTTTGAGTCTTTCGTATTGATTAAGACATATAATTAATTTCTTGCGAGTAAAAAAACTAGTATGTAGAAACACACTTATTATAACTCCGTAGTAAATACTCATAGGGTATAACCCGTCTAAGATTCTACCTAGCTCCACCTAGCTGTGGTATATGTAATCTTGAGAGCACAGTGAAAGATAGATAAAACAACATATGGGTCGTTTGGAACTTTTGATTATGGAAATGATGTATTAAGAGAATGTGTGTATTAAAGATTATGTGTATATTAAGAATGTGTGGTTTTGAATTTTCATTGTTCGGAACCTATACAAAAATGCATGGATTATAGTTTAAATAAACTATGCATACTAAAGTCTCACCAAAAAGGTAAGATTATGAATACATCATTTTCTATGTATTAGAAATACAATATGAATTATGAATACATGCATTATGTTATTACATCAAGTCAAAAAACGTTGTATTTTAAGGATACATATATTGAGAATACAATTTCTGAAATCGAAGGTTACAAACGAGCCAATAATTGTAATATGTGTATAATGATCCGAAATTGATGAGTGATGCCTTTGGCAGGTCGGCCAAGAGACATTCTCATATTCCGAGCCAATGGCTTCTTGCTCTGCGCCATAGATGACAAGAGAGAGAGAGAGAGAGAGAGAGAGAGAGAGAGAGAGAGAGAGAGAGAGAGAGAGAGAGAGAGAGAGAGAGAGAGAGAGAGAGAGAGAGAGGCCCAAAATCATCACAAAAATTGATCTATGATCGAGTTAGCTAGCTAGCTAGCTTCGAGTTCCAATACATATATCTCTCCCTCTCTCTCTCAACCGTACCTGTCCATATCTATATCTTCAGTTAAGATAGCATGATTACGGGCATGCACCCGTCTCCAAAGTTTTGCCCTGAAAACCATCTCTTTCAAGCCCTAGCTAGTTTCCAAGTACAAAGACCCGCGCCTTCTATTGCCATTCTAGCTAGAGTTAACATTTGCTCCATCTTCGAATGCCGAAAACCTCAGTCAGTCAGCCTACAAACTCAACTATTTGCTCCCAGAACGTGGCACATAGAGAGAGAGAGAGAGAGAGAGAGAGAGAGAGAGAGAGAGAGAGAGAGAGAGAGAGAGAGAGAGAGAGAGAGAGAGAGTCATCAAGTGAAGTTAATGTGCTTGCAGAGATAGATCAGCTGGTTCGATAGATGGTGGACTCAACTCATTTTCAAAAGAGAGAAGAAAATGAAGCTTTATAGCCGATGCCCGAGAGTGAGACATAATAGAGAATAACTCGGGACTCGAGCTCTAGTCATATAGAGTCTGTAGATAGAAAGATAAAAACGAGAAGGGAGGGGATGTACGTGTTTTATTAGTATGGTTGTCAAGCCGCTGTAAGCCGATGGGTACAATTGAGTTCAATCGATATCGTGGACAAAAATTAGACGTATGATCACCCATATGAAGTTGTAGTCAAAATAGGTGGATAACATGATGATTTTTGTTTGTAATGTATAGATAGATTGTTTTAAAATAAATTATAGAATTAATACACAATGCATTTGGTGCTGATAGTTTTGTACTTGTTTGTTATTTTGTTTAAGACCGAAATTAATTGTATCTCGTACGTACCATATGACTTCCTAAACCAGTATGACAATCTTGATTATCGGTGTTAGCTATATAGTGGCCCTTCCGGTACGCTATTCTATGCATCTATATATTGTCCACGCCCGTTTCCCTCCTTTGCTGGTTCTTTGTCTCCTCCATTGATCCCAATCTCTGCCTAGCTTCTCCCTAACCTCCTCCACGTGTTCTCTCTTTCACCTTCTCCATTCTGCTTTCTCTCTCCCTCAAAACACAAACAACTTAAAGTACTAAACACACCATGGAAACGCCTTCCTTGACCTACATATCCTCCGGCAATGAGAGTTTGTGCTGCGTAGAAGAAAATAATGATGACGATGAAGACTCCTTGCTCTTGCTTTCCCTTGCTCCTCCTGGTCAACAACCCATCATCAGCAGCAGCAGCAGTAGTAATAGCACTCACCCTTCCACAAAAACCAATGATCACCACATATTCACCAACCCTACCACCAATGATGAAACTAGTTTTACTGCTGGTGGTGTAACAGTAGCTTTGCATATTGGCCTTCCTCCTCCACCAACAACCACCACCCCAAACCCTAACCCTAATAACGCCTCTCCATCTGAATCTCCTCTTGCACACGAGGGACAGTATTGGATCCCTTCCCCTTCCCAAATCCTCGTCGGCCCAACTCAGTTCTCCTGCCCCGTCTGCTCCAAGTCCTTCAACCGTTACAACAACATGCAGGTTTTGCTTCATCCATTCATTCTCTCTCTCTTTTTTTTTTTTTTGGTTTCAGTCTTTCTTAATGAAGTTTGTTGTTTTAGATGCATATGTGGGGGCATGGATCTCAGTACCGAAAGGGCCCCGAGTCGCTTCGAGGAACGAAGCCGGCTTCCTCGATTCTCCGACTCCCGTGCTACTGCTGCGCCGACGGGTGCAGGAACAACATCGACCACCCGAGGTCGCGGCCGTTGAAGGATTTCAGGACCCTGCAGACGCACTACAAGAGGAAGCACGGGGTGAAGCCGTTCGGGTGCAGGAAGTGCGGCAAGAGCTTCGCGGTGAGAGGCGACTGGAGGACACACGAGAAGAACTGCGGGAAGCTCTGGTTCTGCATTTGTGGGTCAGATTTCAAACACAAGAGGTCGTTGACGGACCACGTGCGTGCTTTTGGGGACGGCCATTCCCCACACACCGTGGAGCCCTATGTGGAGAATGAAGTCGAAGATGATGACGATGAAGAAGAAGAAGATTACAGTAGTAATGATGATGACGAAGAAGAGTATAGTCATCCACGTTTGAGCAATAAAAATGGTGAGGTGACACGTCATCATCATATTAATCGTGGTCCGTACCTCTACTAAGTTAGTTGCTAAATGCTGTAATAAATATTGTTATGATGATGATGATTATGATTATATAGGAATATCCAAAGGGCATTGTTGTAGTTTATGGGATTGGGAGGAGTGTGTATTTTTGTTTGGTATTTAAGATAAGAGGGTGGGAGGAAATGGAGATGGAGATGAAAGACAAACAGTATAGTGAAAGGTGGAAAGGGTGATAGGTCCCTCCCTGGTGCTGATTGCTACCTCTTGCAAGTTTCTAAATTGAAAGGTAAGAAGACAAGACCTCTTTTTAGGTATATACTTTTTTACCTCTCCTCCTTTTGCTTTGCATTTAACGTACGGGAAATAATAATAACTGATCGAGAGGTAAGTTAAGTGAAGTGAAGTGAAGTGAGTGAGAGCTAGCAGTATAGATAAGCAGAGCAGACCATGCAGCAGAACACATACAGTAGCAGAGTCACAGATTCCACTGTTCCTCTCTCTCTCTCACTCTCTCTCTCTCTCTTGTGCTCTCTCTTCCCTTTTACCCTTTTCTCAGTTATCTCACAGAGCTTCGACTGCCACTGGAACACTTTGATCCAGCCTCTCTACTGCCAGTGAAACGAAAGAGATAGAGAGAGAGGAAAGGTAGAAAAATAGGGGATGGTTGTAGTAAATGGACCACTTCATTTCTTTTTTACTGTTTTTGGGGTTTCACCCAAAGGGAAAATGCAACTTTGCCTTTCCAGACTAACTACAAAGAGAGATACTGCTGCCACCACTTTCCTGAGCCATAATACATTTATGACTGTGATTCTGCTTATGTACATTATATACCCTAGAAACATATATAGATATATAGGCTTATTATATATACTCAAGTAACCCAACTCTCTCTCTCTCTCTCTCTCTCTCTCTCTCTCTCTCTCTCTCTCTCTCTCTCTCTCTCGTGGATACTACTGTTGTGGCATCATATCTAGCAGCAAAGACATAACTATAACTTGCTGTCTGTCATTGATCTCTGTTTAGTCTTGTCTTTGTAACGTAACAACGTGTGTCATGATTGTCTATTGATTGTGTCTCCTCTAATAACCTGTCTTTTCTCATCTACATTACTACAAATAAAGACTTCATTCCATCTTTCATTATATATTACATCACATCCCTTTATTCTGATAGGTTAAGTCACTTTTTGACGCATTCTGGAAAGTTTGCAGACTGAGTTTTGGGCCCTGACCCCATTTGACCGCCCACCTTTATTTATGCTTTGAAATGACAAGCTTCAAATCTTTGAGCTTTGAATGCTGTCCCTGAGTTATAATTACTCGAACCTGCTATCTGCCTGGAAACAACTTTCACCCTCGAATCCAATGTGATCTTTGTGATTAATCCTTTCAAGCCCTTGATTTGTTTATACTGGTTCGGTAGGGGCTGCACTTTGTATGCATGGCCTGGCCATTGAATCATGTCCTCATAATCTCAGACGTAAGTTTCATTTTTTTTTTATATGAAATGTGATCACCATGTGTAATGCGGTCAAAATCGCGTTTCAAATAGTAAACACTCATAAGAATGTTTCAGTTTGCACCCAAAAATGTTTTGCCAGCCAACTCCAATGCTTTGAAGCTTAGCGCCAAGGTCATTCATATTTCATGTTTAGTCTTTTTCATCTATGGTCTCTGATTTTCTTCACTGGTGGGTTGTGATATATATTATCTACACCAGTCACCAAATTCCATCAATCAATTGCTCCATCTAAACTTTGTTTGTTCAATTTTATTGCAGAATCTGTGGTGCATTATAGCACCCATGGGCTTTGGTGCCGCGTATAGACTTAGTAATTAGGGATTATTATTAGTTAATCGTTAGGTTATTATGGTTATTCGTATTAGTTTATTGTGTCTTGTGGAGGAAGTCATTAGTTACTTTGTTAGAGTGGGATAAGATTAGCTATTAGATTTTCTATGTTTTCCTATAAATATATACTTTGTGGTTCAGTTATGATTATCAGAAGAAAAATATTCAATTTATCGTTATGTTTATTTAGAAGTAGTCGTAACTTAGCTAGAGATTCCCGATGCAGGAAACTATAATGTATCAATCTGTGCAGAGCGCGCAGCAGCAAGCGCCGAGGGAGAGGACAGAAATTGAGACATCCACTTCCAAAAAATTCTTCACCAATTGAGACATCCACTTCGAGAATGGTTACCTTTGTTCTTCAAGTTCAGAGTGCCTAACTAGATCAAGAATGTGGCTACGTGTAATCTAGCTAGAGTCGATTGCATTCTAGTGGTGGGCAATATTGAGGATTGGGAGGAGTGTTTAACCTAGCTAATTATTCATTGAATTAGTGTGGCTGTATGTTAATTCGTCACTCTATATATGCAGCATGGCCACTCTAGCGGTATTTTTAAGATATTATGAGTTTGTTCTACTTTAAACATGAATCGCACTTATTTAATCATTTATCTCAAATATTCATGCTCACATTTTGTATAGTACATGCCCGACTTAACAGATTTTTAGCTATTATACAGGAAACATTAAAAATTTACGTTTTTACTTTTTGATTCTACTCTTTTCGATTTTACCCATTTTTCGTTTCTAGGTAAAATCACGCTTTTAACTGCATTGCGTGTAATAGGTACATACGATTGAAAACCAAGTAACGTAAGATAATTAAGAAGAATATCGTGCATTTTTGTTGAGATTTTACAACGAAGAATTCTAGTCATCTGATTTTTTATTTTTTGGTATTACAGGCGCTAAAGGGCGCCCAACCTATCAATCAAAACACAATCCTGATTCCTGGGGGCTAGTCATTTGAAATTATAATGATTCATTTCATATATTATAGACAATGCAAGCAAAAGAACCGTTGATCTTAAAAATTACTCATATAGACTCCGAATTTCCGAGCCACGCTGTAGTTTATTTTGGAATACAACTTGATGGTGCTCAATATATTTATATTCCAACCAGGGACGTCCCAGAAACTTTGGAGGCCCTGTTCTGAAAATAAAATGAGGCCCAATTTTTTTTATAAGTTCATAAAATATAAATAATATAGAATGATAATAACCGATGAACAAATAATAGCCGAAACCATAAAAACTACTACAAAATTAAGAGATTAAGATATTGAATCAACCAAAATTAAACAAATGAAACAAAACAAAAACTCAATTGACAAATAGTTAATTCACTAAATCCATCTAAATAGATTTTGGTAACTCAATTGAGCTGAAGAGTAAAAGATTTGTAATATTCAAATATCACATACAAGACAAGAAAAATAGAGAAGAAGATGATATAGCATTTGAATTTCTTAGTCTAAACATTTGTGTCGTTAACTATTTTCAATAAAAATGTGTTTGAAATAATTCATACTCTTTTCTTTTCACTGTTGTTCCACATAAAGGATATATTGTTGCCGTAAAATCTAAACCAGCTGGTATCCTTTGTTTTACGCTAGCTAAGAAAACAGAAATAATTGTTGGTGAATTTTTTTTTAATACATAGATTATACCAAGAAAATAATTTAAATTAATAACTAATTGGGTGCGCCTACGGTGACATGCATGTCACGGTGACTTGCACTTTTCGATCGACCTCAGTTAGGATTAGGTCGACCTAATATGTTGTTTCAGTGTAAAAACAATTTCATAGTGAGTACTTTGGAGATTCATATCATACAATTGGCTAGATGAAAATTGAAGATTAATGGCTTGTTTTGAAGCTGGAGTGTCCCTCTACATATTGAAGTGATTGAGAGCTCGATAGGAAGTTCATAAGACCATTTTTCAACCTGATCAAAAGGCTATGCCAAAACTGGGAAACTGCCTGAAAATGGCTGTCTGGAAACGTGTTTGTGAAGCCTACTTTAGAGCTCAATTCGAAAAGCATGAATGCGAGTCGAGTCCAGAGGCCTCTACCACGTTAAATTATGTATGTTTTTATACAAATTCAAGACATTGGATGAAATATTGGATATCTGTAAGGCTTCAAACAAAAGGGTCGAAGTTGCTACGAAGGCTGTTTCTCTGGTAGACTTCGAGCACAAGCAAGTTGCCAGAAAAATAGCCTTCGTAGCAACTTCGAGCCTTTTGTTTGAAGTATTATAGATATCCAATCTTTCATCCAATGTCTTGCCTTTTTAGAAAAACATACCTAATTTAACGTGGTAGAGGCCCCTGGACTCGAATCGCATCCATGCTTCTCAAATTGAGCTCCAAAGTAGACTTCACAAACACGTTCCCAGACTTAGCCATTTTCAGGCAGTTTCTCAGTTTTGGCATAGCCTTTTGATCAGGTTCAAAAATGATCTTCTGGACTTCCTATCGAGCTCCCAAGTACTTTAATGTGTAGAGGGACACTTCAGCTTCAAAACAAGCCATTAATCTCAAATTTCCATCTAGCCAATTGTAAGATATGAATCTCCAAAGTAGGCACCATGAAACTGTTTTTATACTGAAACAACAGATTAGGTTGACCTAATCCTATATGAGGTCGACCGAAAAGTGCATGTCACCGTAGCAAAGTCCTAACTTTATTATAGTTGCATAAAGGAAAAAGGAAATTTTTACCGGTTGCTTTTGTTATTCTTGGCAGAGTGGTAACATGTAGGCATTCTAGTGCATTAATTAAGGTTTTTTCTTATTCTTCTTCTGGATTTTTATATGCAGAGGCCCATATATAAGTCATATGAGTCCAATTGCCCATTATACTCATAAGTGTTACATAAGATTGGGGGCCTTGTTTTTCCTTGAGACCCTGTGCTGGGGGGCCTATGCTGGCCGGGCTTGCGTCCAACAAGAGAGGGAATGTTTCATATATAAAGACAACTAGCTTATAACCCGACCCGTTGGTCGGAGGTAGCTTAGCTGAGTATTGAATTATTGGAACATTTGTTGTCCTAGAGCTCACAGAGATTCGGAACCCCTCGTTTGCTCTCAGGTGACTCTTCCCCGTGGGTAGGATGGTTCGACGACTTTGTGGTTAAGATGAGGAGTATGGTGCTAAGGAAATTGGTTTGGGAGGAGAGGCACTCCAATTCTCTGTGCTCCTGTTTCGTCAATGTATTTTAGGACTTGCAAGAACACCAAAGACTACTAACCAATTTGACAGCAATAATACACAAACAATTAAACCATAATACCCAACATAGAATATCTTAATTATACTGAATTGTTTCAGTTAGCCAGATAGCTCATGACAACTACATTTTTCTGCCAATCAAACACAGCCCCGATGGTTCCAAAATTGATCAAATAATGCAGAAAAACATCATGGAAATAGAAAGAACTCAGTCTCTGAAACTGAACAAAGGGCGGAAGGCCCAGAACTGAACATGGTTTTAAAGCACATATCTGACATGTTTTGGAT